GATGATGATGGAAGGAGAGAGGAAAAAGATGCAAAATTTTATTCTTTTTCTTAATTTTAATTTATTTAAATTCTTAGAAATTTTATTTCAAACAAGATTATGTACGAAGAACGTGGAATATGAAGTTTACATTATTTTATCTTTTTTTTTAGATATACTGATGAATTTAATGTTCGAGAAGATCTGATGGGGCTAGCTATTGGTGCTCATGGTGCAAATATTCAACAAGCGCGAAAAGTTGATGGCATTACAAATATAGAGTTAGAAGAAAATTCATGCACATTTAAGATATATGGAGAGGTAATAACAAAAATTATTGTACTGCTTGTATGTTTCTAAAAATGTGTTATAAAGATTTATTCAAATTGTTTTTATCTAATTGAGGAGCGGACTCTTCCAAAATGCATTTTATCCAAAATTTCATTTTTTTAGTTAAAGATGGCATAGTGTTCAATGTTGAAAGACATATTTTAAGCTCTACGATGTTCTGAAAGCATTTCTATATCATCAATTTATGTGCTAAAAAAAATCTTGACGTTTGAAGTGCATTATATTCTTTAACTAAAAACAAACAAAATGTATTTGTTTAATATTTTTAACAACTGTTTAGTTACAATTTTGTTGAACATTTCACATTTTACTGATTGACATAGTTATTTTCTGCGCGCAACTTTCTTTCTCGTTTTTCTGAAAATTTTGGACAAAACGCATTTTGAAAGTCTATTCTTCGATTGTAAAATGTGTACAAATCTATATATATATTATTATACATTGAGTTGATATATAAAGTTTAATTTGTTTGTAATGTTTCTTAATCACAGACGCATGAAGCTGTTAAAAAAGCTCGATCTATGCTGGAATATAGCGAGGAATCTATACAAGTCCCACGAGTGTTGGTAGGAAAAGTAATTGGGAAGAATGGTCGTATTATCCAAGAAATTGTCGACAAGAGTGGTGTAGTAAGTATATTTTTATCATTATTTAATAGAACTTAACATGTCTATATTTTTATAGATATTACTTTCAGAATTAAGATCTCTCAGGTAGGGACTGTCCTTTCTTAAGTAATGATGTTTAAGAATATCATTACATTATTATATAAGTATATCAATTTTCATTTTCAGTTGATACAGTATGATTTTGTTAAAACTGTCCCAAATTTATAGTACCTAGATTACATATAATACTTTACAGATCGTCTACATCTACTGATATATGTTTATCTCTCAGGGTATGTAGCAATCGAAATTACCAACACGCGTTTTAAGTATAATGATTATTATAGCTTCTCTTTTGCAACATATGCAGACTCTCAAATCGTTCATAATTAAAGACTCCGTAATCAAAATTTAAAATATAGCATTCAATTGAAAATGGAAGTTATAATTTACGAGGGATTAGGTTATATATGACATATACCTTGTCTGTTCTCGGTAGATAACAACTGGCTCGAGTGGGAATATACATATTGATAAAGTAAGTATGTCATTTCCTATTGTTTGTGATTTTATTCCATCAAAGTTTAGTCAATCATTCATATATATATATATATATATTCATATGGAAGCACTCGCAAATCTTACATGAACCACTCGGGCCAGTTCCTTTAAATCGTATTAAAAAAAATAAAAAAAAAACTTTTGTATAATCAGGCCTGTATTCATGTTTCACATTTAGCACTAAATGTGACTGTCTTATTCTGAATGCGCTATTTATCTGATATCAAATATCAGAGTTGTCATTCAGTGTTATCATGGACTGATAATTACATGGCCGCATTTGATGCTAAGTGTGCATTGTATATGGACCTTTTAATGCACATGTGCATCGCAAACAGTAATTAGATGCATAAGTCGTTCCATGTCCATGCATTTGTTTTTTGTCGTCAATTATATTTTAAAACGAATATCATTTCAGAATATGCTTTTACAATCTGATTTATGGAAAACTTGTTAATAATTGGAGATATACGACATAACATTTCTATCATAAATAACAAGAATATTTTGTGAAATTTTTTTATTGCAATAGCATATTGAATATGTATATCATGCATGGGGAATCAGATAGATTTAATGTACGTATACATGCGAATATTTTTTTCTTTGTTTTCTTTTGTTTTCTACAAAGATTATAAATCTCCTATTAATTAGTTTTTCATGTACAAGATATATTGTAACTATTAAATTGTAGAACAAAAGATTATTTTTTTAATGATATAAATAGGCTGAAATTGTTGTTATTTAAGAAAAGAAAATGAAATAATAAAAATCTCTAAATTTATTTACAATTATATCTAAAGGAAAAAAACTGTGATTATAAATACACGATATAATTGCCACGTTTTTGATATGATATGATATATAGTTGTGATTGTGAGAAGATACATATTACCTAAAAGATGATGTTTGAGAAAAGGTAAAAATATCGAGAAATTACTTTTTTTTTATTTTTATTTTTTTTTTAAACTGAAAAATACTTTTGGGAGTATAAAGGGTGTAAAGAATATTTAAGCAAATTTTCGCAGACTGATCGACAAGTCTATTGATGGAAATGACAAACGCCAGTGACTGAAAACTGATGGTATGGATATGAAATACGATTTTAAGCGTCTCATACTAATAATCCGTATCATTAAGTGCGTTAATAGCGCAATTTTAATAACTACGCATTGCAGGTAAGAGTAAAAATAGAAGGAGACAACGAACCTCAACCAACGATTCCACGAGAGGAGGGTCAGGTGCCCTTCGTCTTTGTTGGCACTGTCGAAAGCATCGCCAATGCCAAAGTTCTGTTGGAATACCATTTGGCACATTTAAAGGTAACTGTATATCAATGCACTGATCCTTTCTGAAATATATAAAACCGATATCCTAGAAAGGAGTCGTAAAATAAATTGTGAGTTTGATCGTGGGATTTGATCACCTTGTATAATTTAGGAAGTAGAACAACTGCGACAAGAAAAGTTAGAAATTGATCAACAACTACGAAGCATGCACGGATCGACTACAGGACCGATGCCCAGCTTTCCTCCCACAAGACGAGGAATGGTTGCAGGACCTGAAGAGGGTATTAGCGGTCGTGGAGGTCGCGGTGGTCAGTCTCGAGGGCGCGGATCTCGGGGTAGAGCCCCTACCAGACACAATGCCGGTAATTTTATAACACAAACAGCATTATGAGTTATTATCAAAATATTAAAATATAAACTTGATAATATTGATTGTAATGTAATATTGTATTTTGTAAAGTTTTACGAGAGAATTTATGATTTGCTGTTTGTTTCGATTTGATTATGACTTTTTTGTGTAAGGCATATTTAACAAATTAGTCAATAGGCGAAATGCAAGTGAATTATTATATTTGTCTATATGAACTAGAAATCTGACAATTAACCGGGCATTTTCAGGATTACGTAGAGATACTTTGGATGGCAGCGAGGATCGTGTTCGGGATTTACCGCCAAGAGGTGGTCATCAGGGAGCCGGTAATTCAGGGTACATGAGTGGTAGACAAGGTCGTCCTCCAACCCAACGTAGAGATCGTAGAGACGAACGTCGTCGTACTACCGATGATGAAGATACTGTTTTAGACAGCCAAGACGTTTCAAGCATTGATAGAGGTAATATTTATTGGTAACGTGCGTGCGCGCGCGCGCGCGCGCGTATGTGTGACGAGAGAGAAAGCAAGCGAATAAAGAATAGATGCATACATGTTGATGACAATTCTAACCGTTTCGTCCTAAAGACAAAGCAACGTGTGACGCGTATCAGAATGCTTTAAGATTGGCATGAAATGCGGAGCAAACTCTTGTGACCATCTAACACTAATGTTATCATCAAACCGAATATAAATATATATTCTATTGCATGCTACTAACGTATGCAGTGCAGCTTTCGCTATCTATGATTAAGTTTATCTTTAAATGTTAATTGGGAGTTCGAGAGACAGATGGTCACAATGGTTTGTATATGTATAGAGTCAGTATCGAGTGTGGAGGGAGGAGCTAAAGGAATAAGACGAAGACGACTTCGGCGTTCGCGGCAACGAAGCTCAACGCCAATAAGTGCTAGTCAGACAGGTAGGCCTACCCTCTAGTATCAAGCTCGCGTGAGCATCTCTTTAGGACGATCGGTTGTATAAAAAAGCAGATTATATCCATTTTCCAGTGCTCAATCAATAAACTGACGCGCACACTTATACATACGAAAACATTCAGAATTAATCTATAAATTTGTTTAGGCAGTAATGCCGGCCCGTGCGACCAATCAACAATGAATAGCAAGGAAGGAACACCCGCGAACGACGTATCCATGTCTAACAACAGTTCGCAAGGACCTAAAGGCCAAAGAGAACATCGGTCTCGTCCTCCTCGTATGCAGCAGAGCAATAAGCCTAAAGAAGCTCTGGTTAACGGTACCAGTGGCTAAGCAACCGTTGCGTTGTCGCCAATTGCTACTAACGTTGCTACGTTACACCTGATGAGAGCTATTAACTCCCAGCACGTAACATGACGCATACCGACGCAAGGACTACACGATTATGGAACGCGACATGATTAGTCTACGCTCGTTGTTAAGACTGTTTGCTACCGATAAGAATACGACAGTTGTTTAAGAAATCGTCATTCTCCTTAAACACATTTAAGGACACATATTAATATCCATGCATGGTTTAGTTTAATGATGGTAATTACACTGTCATGTTTGATATACGGATACATTCATTGGGAGATAGAGGATAGCATTTGGTAAGAAGGATTCCCTGATTGTGAAACTGTGCCTCATTTTTATACCAAGCTCCTAACTTATGTGGCAGTGCTTCGGATGTACCATACACCTTGGTGCGGTACACCTTGGTCACTCGTTAACGTTTAACGATCCAATATTAGGCTGGATAATCGCGGCTCGTACGTCAATTATCGCTCTGGATAAGTTTTCATCTAGATATGTCGCTCAGTACTTACATATAATACAATATTTGCAGTGTGCTCCCGATATCATTCCGTGATATCGAATTTATTTAATTTAGCTTATAATAACCAAATTAAATGGCAGCAAATTATTCTACGTACTTTTCATGAATGTTCCGTATTAACGTAAAGATATATATATATATATATATA